ATGGAAGCTCCCATCGTACGTAGTAGCAACAACTATTTGCAAGACAGAATAGGTAAGCAAATTGTGCCGCAATTCTGCATTTCCTCCCTATATCTTAAGTTAAGGAGGGAATGTTCCCCCTTCTTTTACACCTCTTGACCTTTGACATTTGACCCCCAGCTTCGACATCCCAACTCGTTTTGACGATCCCCCCCGACGTCCCGAATATCGTGACCATACGTCGAGCGGTTAAGATTTGAGCCCAACTGTTGACGCACGGACGGACGGCCGGACGCACACACGGACGAACGGACGGACGATCGTGCGATTCTACAAGCTGGATCTGACTTCGTCAGATGAGCTAACAACCTTGATGTTAGTATTATACTATTGGATAAGGATGTACCTACTATTAGCTTCACTACTATTTGTATGGACTGCTTCGAGTAACCCACACATGTGATGTGGTTGCGATGTAAATACCTCCCTATGAGAGCCTATAACTGATTAGTTGCGTCATTTCTACAATCAGACCGTTTGTTTTATGTCAACAGCTACTGTCAAGCGATCGATTGGTAGACTGGGTTTGTGGCCCCATTGTTTAACAATGTTTGTACTGCTGTAGGGTCTAGCATGCTTAGAGCGTGCAGAGCGTGCTAGCATCTACTTGTACTAGCGCGTCTAACAAGAAAAACTTGTTAATGGGAATGAGTTATATAGGAGGTGTGCAACAGTAAGCTTCCGCGATTGTTCACCGTTGCAAGTTGGATGCCTCGTGAACGTCGAGAAAGCATTAGAAGTAAAATTATTCTTGTTGTGTATTCGTGACATTCCGTCAGGTGGCGTAGCCACAGTCACCGGTTGGTGTTTTTTGTGTATGAAATGTGTTCAGACTACTTTGCAGAAATTCGCATCATAGAGCTGGCAAAAGTTTCGAGCGGAGCATAGAGCATGAATCTGTAGTTATTTAACATGAATAAAGTGTATGTTTTGTAAGTGCATTAACAGTGTGAGTATTTTTAATTAATTTCTGTTCGATGCTTAATCAGGCCTGCAGCCTATGGACGCCCTCTACTGTTGTTTAACACCCAGGCTTTCAGATTTGAAAAGTACAGGAGGACTACTAATGACTCCCCTGGGACACCATAGGGGGACTTTTCACGCTCCATAATCACACCCTCAAGAGGCATGATGGAGAGCTCCACTAAAAAATCACACCCTTAACACGTTCAACGCGAAACACGAGTATACTCGTTCGAACCTGCAAAACGCACGGCCGCGAAACACGAGTATACTCGTGGCAAAAAAAAAAAATAAAAAAAAATTAATTTGGAACGTTTACTATGTTCTCCTATAGATGGCATGAGCTGTACGCTTAGCAATTTCAACAGCGTCACTGTATATACCCCAGTAGTAGATGACATAATTTATACAATACTTTACTGTTGTTTGGAACGTTATTTTGGGAGTTTTTGGGACTGAGGTAATGTATTTAGTTCACCTCGCCAAAGGGCGTTTGACCGCCGTGTGTTTTGAAGTTGTTTTTATGTCTGAAAGTTGTGATTGATTTGATAGATCACGGGTGATAGATTCCGGTGTTGTTTTGATGTCTGAGAGTAAGTTTATATCTATATTATACTAGCCACTAATTATAAATAATTGTATAGCTAGTTAAACCTGCCAAAAACATTTTTTGTAATAGGTGACTAAGCGGTAAAAACGCGAAAATCTCAGCACAGGGCGGTAGGCGCATTGTTAAACATGCAGCGTTCAACGTGTTAAGAGGCATGATGGAGAGCTCCACTAAAAATCACACCTTTAAAAGGGATGATGGAGAGCTCCA